CATAATATATGGGGTAATCCTTGCCATTGACTTTCATATTTTTCAAGATGGTTATTGCACCACCAACCAGTACTAATTTGTGTCTTTGATACCAAATGCACAGCAACCCACGATGGATTCCTGGGAAAGCAATGAGAAAGCTGGGGGAAACCATGTCCTGAAATCCCATCCATTTTTACACAGAACCTGGGTAAATTTCATCACGAGCTCACGTCGTTCTCCCGAAGCCTGGTTCATCATGGTTAGGATTAAAGGGATATCATCCCCAAGATAGCCTGAATTCAGGTCAGGTTAGTGAAATATTATAATTTACCCAGAGAACCCTAAGTGGCGAATGGATCACCACCAGGATGTTGTTGGGCCATCAAGATGGCGATGACAAACCCCCCATTGCAATTGACCAGCGAAACACCCTTTGGTCGCGGTCGTCGTTTCGTGAAAAGAGCAACTTGAGCCGCGTGGACATCATGAACATTCAAGTACTGCGGGGTTCGAGACCTGGTTAGTGTGGTTGATAACCCATAGATTTCTGCGGTATATTCCATGACAACTGGCTTATACTGGGTTATAATACGATTACAGTAATCATGTAGATGCACCCTCAAATTTTGATTTGAGGTGTGTCTTTGACGTTGACCAGTAGCTCAGAAGACCCACAATAAAAATCCTGTTCTCAACCACCCAGTGAAAGGCATGACAGGGTTTTGCGCAACACTCGACAAATACTGGTTGGATGGATTGAAGCCATTTGAAACCGCTGACTTGGGTGTACCCATTGGGTATTCCGAGCAAGGGCCACATGATGACGACCAAAGGTTTCATATCATGCACACACACTATATATATATATATATATTTGAGGGCAAGCCAAAGAAACCATCCTGGAGGTAATCTAAAATACCAGTTGGTATATTGAAAAATCTCCGTATATTTAGATGTAGTTACCGCATTATATAATATGTAACCTGTATGGAATGTATGCATTGATATTAATATATATATATGTATATTTATATATGTGATATAGAGACATGCATACATGATATGTTTAGATGCATATTTCATGATTTTGAGTCTGTTTGAACAGTGTTGATCTGCGATCTATAATATGATAATACTATGATATACCTTTCTCCAGATATGGGGAAGAAGGGAACCACAACATGTTGTTTGAGTCTAGTACAAGGTGTGGGCCCGTAATGATGTTTGCTGGTTTATTAACCCCATTACAGCAAGTCTAGATGTATCTACCAGTATCTACCATAAACCATACTTAACCTAGACTTATCAACCAACTCAGCTATCCCCCCCGTGTATGAACACATGCCTAGTCACTCACAGTCCTTTACAAATCCAGCGTGACGTCTGCGTGACCATTGCCGATCACGGACGATGTTGTCTACGGTGGATTTTCATTGCCCACCTGGGTATGACGTACCCGAATTTGTCCCAAAGATCGAACATCTTGAGCCAAAAAAAAGCCAAGTGCGAGGCAGGAACTGACAAGAACACAGAAAACCCTGGCCAAAAGAAGGAAGAAACACGTGGGTTTGTCTTAAAATTAGATTTGCCGGTTTATGATTTGGTTTCTCATCATTTCCCCGTCTTTACGACAAAAACAGGGTGCCTTAATCCTTTAATCCACCATTTTCATCCATTTTCAGACCATGTTTCTTCCACATGGGAATTCTCATCATGATTCGGTCTCTTGGGTCTTTTGGGCTTCGCGGACGGCGGACGGACCGTTCAACTAACGGCGTACCGTCTGCAGCGGAGTAGATCGGCGAGAGCTGAGCGGCGGCATGGGCCGCAGCACCCGCTGGGTCAGTTTTGATGCTTGACGCATCTTGACGCTGGTGGGCCGCAGCACGCGGCATGGGCCGCAGCACGCGCTGGGTCAGTTTTGCTCAGATTTTGCCCAACTCCCAACAACTGCTGCCAACTTCAGTTCAAAAACATCAGCTATTTGTACTTCTTCTCAACATCATTTGGACCACCTGTATCCCTCAATCATCATCATCATCATCATCATCATCATCATCGCAAAAATATATCAGGCCAAACCTGGATTTAATATGCGCACTTCCCTGCCAGGTTTATAGCTGTAGGCATTGAACCAAAGTTGGCTCCAGGTCTCAGGTAAAAGGTGCCCTGCAGCTTTGCGTGTTTGCTCCTTGATGACCTCCAATTCTAAGCTTTTGCGTTGGGTTCTCAGCCGCACTACATTGGGTTTCCCCTTACATATGCATTTTAGTGCGCTGCCGAGCTGCCATGTCTTTGTCCTTGACGTATCGGCGCTGGTTGTGCGGTGGCTTCCACAAAACGGTTGTCCCGTTCCTGGGGCGCAGGATTTTTCTGTGAAATCTCGCATAAAACTGCTCTTAGATGTTCATGTGCATTTCGACTGCGCAGGCTGGCGCAAAGTCTGCGCCACGGGGTTCTCCAGCTCTTGGTCTGCGGCCTTTTCACTCTAAATTTTAGCATAAACGGGCTCTTGTGGAGATCCTGCTAAATTCCTCCCTAAGAGGCCCTTGCATGATCCTGTACGGGTCCTTAACAGAAGGTCTTGTAGAAGATCCTGGTGAGATCCTCTCTAAGAGGTCCTTGCATGAAGATCTTGCAGATGCCATGTCCCAGAGGTGCGCTTGTATCAAAGCTTGTGGGAGGCTCTTGGGAGGTCCTCGAGATCTTGTAAGTCCGCTCCGGCAGCAGCAGCTCCTTTTATGACGATCTTGTGGAAGATCTTGGTCAAGGTCTGTTGCAAGTCCTTGTGAGAAGGTCTTGTGGGGATCCGGGTGAAACGCTGTCAAGGGTTTTAGCATGTCCAGGTCCTTGTGAGCTCTTGAGAAGAGGTCCTGGTGAAATCCTCTATATGTCCTTGCATGATCTCGTACAGGTCCTTGTGAGAAGATCTTGTGGAGATCTTGTTGAAATCCTCCTCAAGAGGTCCTTGCATTAAGATCTTGAAGATCCTCTGCGTTGGTGCTTGTATGAAATTTCTTCTGGGATGCTCATAGGAAGTTCTTGTATGAAGATCTTGTGAGCTCCTCTATATAGATCTGTATATAGATCTATATATAATGTCCTGCTGCTGCAGCTGCGATCATGTCTAACCTAATCTGTTACTGTTCCATAGCTACTGTCGCTTGTATCTGGCACATTGACTTCCTACCCCCCACACTGTTTGGGGTCTCTTGCCGGCATAATTTTTCTAATCGTCACTCAGGTGCCAGCCCTGGAGCAAATTTCCCGTGGAGAGCAAAGGTGCATCAAACCGCTGCATCATCATCATCATTATCATCATCATCATCACCATCATCATCACCATCATCATCATCAGCAGCAGCAGCATCGCAATCATCATCAGGAATCATCACCATCATCATGGTCCACCACCAGCTTGATTTCTCACTCATTATTTATTATTTACCACTATCAATCATCTGCTTCTGTGTTACCTTCTCGTCTCCTCACTCCTGCCTGTTTTCGGACCATATTGTCGTGCAGTTGGTAGTTTCATTTTTTCAAAGCGATGATATCCAAAGTGTATTTGACAATTTTTCGAAGGTGAAACCTGCGACCAGAACGTTTCGGGTGGAGTATTTCCTTTGTTTTTTCCAGTCCAGTGATGGGATGGGCATTGTGTTTTAAATCATGCACTTAAATTTGATAGCAATTTCATGCTGGAAATGGCAATGGGTGGTCTAAAAAAACTGACCCGGGGCTCCAACTATTTTTGACATCAGGGTGTGTCTGAAAATGGGGGATCAACCCCTGCGATGATTTTTCCAATGGATTTAGAGGTAGCCTATTTTCCGACAAACCTATCTGCCAGAGAAGTGTTTAATCTCAGGAAATCGTCGACACAAACGGCAAGACCCAGCAGGATTGACATCATAAATCCACGGGTTTTTTTCGAGATTTTCCGAGCTGAGATTGGTGTGCCAGGACAATCAAGAACTATAGCTGGAAATTGCGGGGGAAACATCATTTGAAGCCTTGCATCTTGGAAACACGAAGACTTTCCTCCAGATTTTCCGGTGCAAGTCTCGTTGGAATTGGAAGATCCATCTGGGAACACTCAAATTGGATCAATTTGTTACTGGAAAACCATGGAAACCAATGGAAACGCAATACCTTGGAATTTTTCAGATTTTGATCCATACAAAATCATACATCAAACAATTGAAACATTAAAACATGATGAACTGGCTGCTGGCTGCTGGGTCAACTGTGGGATCATGGTTGGAACTGGGGATTCTAGGTAGGCACATCTACCGTTGACCCTCCGTTTGTAGCTTCAAAAATGAGGGTCAGTCCCATAATTTTAGTACTTTTACCATTTTTTGGGTGTAATTGGAGGGTCTAGGCCTAGGTTTAGGTAGGTGAATTGTGGTGATTGCTATAACAAACCTTGTGCAGGGCACCGATCATGACGGCTCCCCTTGGAGATGTCTCCTGCTGTGCTTGCAAGACCTCCTGCGAGTGAAGGAAAATGAATTGTTGTTTGTCGGGGGTTCCAAACAGCCGTTAGCATCATGGCGACTCTTTTGGCCGGTCATGGTCGACATCTTTTGTAAGGACTGGCAAGGACATAGATACAGATTTCGGGTGTCTCTTTTCAATCATTGACTGATATTGACAGTTTTCGGATCTTTGAGGTATTCCATTGTGTAAGTTGGTATGGGACGGCTAGGTTCGAGTGTTTTGAGACTGCATTGATCACTTCAAGGGCTTGACCCGTTCTCTTTTTGGCAATATGAGGAAGTGTTTCCCTGTTGTGGAGGGTCCATACCATGGCACAGGGTGCCCACAATGTGTACTTGCAGCCCACGTATCAGAAGAGTCAATTTAAATTTACATCAATTTACTAGATTATGAATTTGTCTGAAAATAGGCTACCCCCAAACTTGATGGTTAATCACTCTTAAGTTATTGCCTTTTCACTTGGGTCTTTCCTCAAATTTTCCAAGCGATTTACCGGGAAAAGACCCGGTCAGGCGTAAGGAGGAGAATGTGGCCAGCGGAAACCCAGCGTCGGGGGGCCGGGTTGATCTTCCTCGAAGAATCATCCCAAAGGAACCTTATGGGAAAATAACATAGCTATGGAAAATCACCATGCTATTAATGGGAAAATCAACTATTTCTATGGCCATGTTCAATAGCTATGTAACAAATTACCAGAGAGTATCATATTTTGGGAATAATAATCCCAACTGACCTTCATATTTTTCAGAGGGGTTGAAACCACCAACCAGATATTCAGTTGCTGGCCACTCTTCCAAGTAGGACGTAGTTGGTGACTGAAACACAATTTTCGGGGCACCTCAGTTGCAAGTTGTTTATATACGTAAAAACACATCTAACATCATCTAACAATAGATACCCTCTGGTAATTTAACATAGCTATTGAAAATCACAATTTTTAATGGGAAAATCCACTATTAATGGTCATTTTCAATAGCTATGTTAAATTACCAGAGGGTATCTCTTGAATTCTCATGATATCTCCACTATATATCTAACACTTCGCCTAGAGCCATCAAAATTTGGGACTGGCACGGCATCACGTCATCAGGCTCAGCGTCAACACAGAGGCCACTTGGAGGGTTGGCCCTGGCTTCGTTGATATCCCCTGACTTCGTTGATTTTCCCAGCGAACCAAACCTCCATTTATGATCATTTATCTGGGTAAATTATAACGACCTCACTGTTCTCCCTCACTGGGAATCATGGTTAGTATTGGAAATCATCTCCAAATGGCCGAACAATTCAGGTTGGTGAAATATTCTTTGGTTTACCCAGATTTATGTAGTTCAGGACTTTCCCATTGCTATTCTTGATTACCGGATGGATCCGGATGGTATGATTCAGGTTGTTGAATCCCTAGGAACCTTGGATTTGGAAGAACCTGCTGCATTTATGGTGTGGTTTTCATCACGCCCCCGTTTTTGGCAAGTTGAATGTGCAGTTCTTGGCAATCACCCAGCACCGAACATCTTTATGGTAAGAGATTTTGAGGTGGAACCATCTTAAATTTCTCGCTACTTTGGGTCAGTTTGCTGGGGCATACCCTCAGTTTTATGCAATTTCAATGCGGTGAACATGAAAAACATCAGAGGTTATCGATGTTCATGAAAAACATGATGTTTTCATAATGCTGAACATATAATTTTCATTGTTTCTCATACCCTCAATTATGTTATCCCATTCAACTTTGATGTTTTCTATCATTTATTTTCAGACACGCCCGAAAACGGTGACTCCATTTTTTGGGTTGTCTGAAAATGGTGTCCCCCGGAAACCATCCAGTTCCCCAAATCACATTGTTGGATTTATATTCCATTGTATCCTTTTGTATCAGATCCTATTATATCACACCCACTTAAAAATATCCTGTTGTCAGATTTATGTACCATGTTGTATCTTCTACGCCTATCATTATTGGTTAAGTTATAGACCGAATTCTCCCCATTATATTCTAATGTTCAGGTACCAAACCCATCTGGGCATCATATTTCACATTCCTTCCCAATGGGTGAAACTTATCCCCATTCTCTTCCCATTTTCTCCATAATATTTCCTATTTTCTGATTGGTCTCATGAGAATTTCGCAAGAAAACGTCTCCCTTTATATCCCCATCATGTACCTATCATGGGGATATTGCGTTCAAACATCATTATCCCTTATTGTCTTTAGAAAATCTGAGTTTTTTTGGGGCTTTGAACATGCTTGCGTATCGATAAACACCATGGTATCCCCATTCTACCCCCGACTGTTGAGGCAGCTGAGAAGGAGAAGGGCGCCATCAGCGAGATGGTGGCTTCACTCAGCCGACGCTGGTGCCTAGTGGGAAAAGGTATAGCTAAGTTGAGTTTAAAGAAACTACTAGACCTAGGCTTTATGGTGGATATATATATATATATACATATATATACACAATATTTGTATGTATATATATAATATATATATATACATATAATATTTATATGCATATTATATATATATAGATGTTTATATACATATGCGCATATATAAATAAATAAATAAATATATATATATATGCGTATATATATATATATGTATATATATATATATATGTATATATATGTATATATATATATATCATGATATCTCGAACTGACACTGAATCATGGATGTTAATGGGGTTATAAACCAACAAACGTAACTTGGGGCACCACATTGTAGGGAGAATGTATGGTTTTCCGAGGAAAATGTTTGTTTTCAATGGCGGATGTTCCATATCAATATAGATTTGCTAGCAATACAGGTGGATTTGTCCAAACACACGGTACTATTAAATCAACCAACATAGCAACATCGCCAAAATTCGCAAATCCCCCATTTTCAGGTACCACATCATTTGGTGACACTTGGTAGTTCTATCTCACATTTGATCCCAATAATTACCCTCTGGTCGAAGGAAGTTTAGAAGTCAAACTTCCGACAATATGGAGAGATGAAAAGCAGAGCAGGGAAGAGGCAGAGAGAAGAGAAAGATTGGAAGAGAGAAGATCAGAAGAGAAAGAGTCAGAAGAAAGAAGATGCAGATGCGCGAAAAGGTAGGAAAGTCGCGAAACACTGTGTTTTTCCAATGATTTGTGGCTCCGGAGGGTCGAAAAGTAGGCTCGCTAAAGCGGCGGGTGCGGAGCCAGCTGGCCAGATGAGAGATGAAAAATTGCACGCCGCCGTTGTGGCGCGAAGCACATTTCCAAGTCAAAATGTAAAAACACACCATGGTCGGAGCACTTTTGGAAGTTGAGATGTCGAAAAAGTGCACGCCGTTGTGGCGCGAAGGACATTTCCAAGTCAAAATGTACAAAACCAGTCTCGGACCACTTTTGGAAGTTGAGATGTCGAAAAAGTGCACGCCGTTGTGGCGCGAAGCACATTCCAAGTCAAAAGTGTAAAAAACACGGGTCGGACCACTTTTGGAAGTTGAGATGTCGAAAAAGTGCACGCCGTTGTGGCGCGAAGCACATTTCCAAGTCAAAATGTACAAAACACACCAGGTCCGGACCACTTTTGGAAGTTCAGATGTCGAAAAAGTGCACGCCGTTGTGGCGCGAAGCACATTTCGAAGTCAAAAGTGTAAAAAACTGAGGGTTTTGAGCCTTTTTTGATGTTAAGATGTCGAAAAAGTAGACACTGATTAACTTAACTAACTTGACTAACTTAACTAACTTAACTACCCTAACTTCGACGACAACAGCAGCAGCAACAACAACAACAGCAACAACAACCACAAAAACTACAACTACAACAACTACAACTACAACTACACAACAACTACAACTACAACTACAACTACAACTACAACTACAACTACAACAACTACAGCTACAACTGCAACAACTACAACTACAACAACAACAACAGCAACAACAACAACAACAACAACAACAACTACAACTACAACTACAACTACAACAACAACAACAACAACAACAACAACAACTACTACTACTACTACTACGACTACTACTACAACAACAACAACTACAACTACAACTACAACTACAACTACAACTACACAACAACTACAGCTACAGCTACAACTAGAACTAGAACTAGAACTACAACAACTACAGCTACAACAACAACAACAACAACAACAACTACTACAACTACAACTACAACAACAACAACTACAACAACTACAACTACAACAACTACAACTACACTACACAACAACTACAACTACACAACAACTACAACTACAACTACAACAACAACTACTACAACTACAACTACAACAACTACACAACAACTACAACTACACAGCAACTACAACTACAACTATATGACTGCAACTATACTACACTAATTACATTACACCACAACTACAACTCCACTACGCTACAACTACAACTACAGTTGCAGTACATCACACTACATCCAGCAGTTGTGGGTGAGGTGACCACTGCAACCATTGCAACCACTCCAGCAAACACAACTCCAACCACCTTTCGGTCAATCAGTGGCTTCGCTCTGCCATCCCTGATTCACAACAACCAACGTCTCCTATAGGTTTCCTGTTCTGAAACTTCCGCCACCGCCTTGTGCGGTACTACTGGTAAACTAACATAGCTATGGAAAATCACCATTTTTAGAGGGTAAATCAACTATAAATGGCCATTTTCAATAGTTTTTTGTATGTTTACCAGAGGGTATGTGACCCTACATTTGATTCAAAACCGCCCATTGTTGCTGGGTGAACTCCTGGGATTTCCGAGGTGATCATTGACCGGCGAGTGGACCTCTTTTCGGTGCTGTGTTCACAGTTCACCTACCAGGTGCCGTTGACGAAAGGCGGAGGTTCACGGGTGGCTACGAAATCGCGACAGGTTGATGCACAATTCACTTGGTGAATGTTTGGGTTTTTGAGGGATATAACATGATATAGCTACCGGGGTTTACACACCAACCAAGGTAACTGGGGTTTACCTCACCTTGGTCACATCCCGTGAACCCAAACCCAAAGGTTAACCAAGTTATGTGAGTCAACTTACCCTCTGGTAATTTAACATAGCTATTGAACATGGCCATAAAAATAGTGAATTTTCCCATTAATAGCATGGTGATTTTCCATAGTTACGTTAGTTTGCCAGAGGGTAGCTATCCTAACTGGGGTCTCACCTGAAAAACATGGCACATCACGGCACTGTGAATAGGCAGTTTTGGGATTCCAAAAAGGGGCGGAAGGGACATTCGATGAAGTCCCAACATCGAAGCGTTGCCAAATAGAACCCAGCTCCGATAGTTATGAATGCCGTTGAAGTATAGATGTTTTCTGCTATAGATAGAGCATGCCCCGCAATTTATACATATGTTTTATATGTTTTCAGTTCTCTTCAAAGTCCATGTGCCGGTTGGTGCTCACCACTGCTCCAGGTATCGGTCATCAGCCCGTCAACCCCGCACAGGCCTTAATCGACTTCGCCTATGGCATTCAGAACAACTCGCCGCTCAGCTATCAAGCCTGGTGAAAGGGTGAGTTTTCATAGTTTACTGTTGAGTCGGCTTGCTTTCAGCTGATTTCTTGGCGCTGAAACCGCTCAGAAGTGACTAAAATTGCTGATGTTTGGACTGAAAGTTTCGAATCTGTGTTTTCTCAGGAAATGTTCCTTTCCAGACTTTTCCAGGAACAACAAATGGAGGTTTTGCCTCAGGAACTGCCGCAGAAAACTGGGTCGGAAGTTGCCCCTCCCCAACTGAATCCTGGATCTGGATCCCTAGGATCGATGTGAGCTCAGCAGCCTGGTACAAGGGCAAGGCGGGGGGACTTGGCTTGGCCAACCGTACCTCCAACGTGGCTGGAAAATCCACGAAAATCCTGGATTTAGTTCGAAGATTTTCGGTACCATGATTTTTTTTGATGGGAATTTGAGCTTTTGAGGTCGCTGAGGTTGCTGTTGTGGAGAAGTTTGGTTTCTATGGTACCCTTTGTCCCTTTGGAGAAGACAGCAGCTTCTCGAAAGCTCTGGTGTCATGAAGTGATTGAAACTCTTTAAATGGCTTTGTATGCTCAACCTCCCCAGTGTTGGGGAGATCCATTTACCTGGGTAAAATCAGTATTGTCGCACATCACTGATTGCCATTTTGATCGGTTTCAAATCCCATTTGTCTAGATCCGCGTTGAGGAACAAAATACTCAATCTCTATAAAAAATTGAATACCTATAAGTTATCGAAAGAAGTTTAGAAGTCAAACTTCCGACAATATGGACAGATGAAAGGCAGAGCAGGGCAGAGGCAGAGAGAAGAGGAAGATTAGAAGAGAGAAGATCAGAAGAGAAAGAGTAAGAAGAAAGAAGATGCAGATGCGCGAAAAGGTAGGAAAGTCGCGAAGCACTATGTTTTTCCAATGATTTGTGGCTCCGGAGGGTCGAAAAGTAGGCTTGCTAAAGCGGCGGGTGCGGAGCCAGCTGGCCAGACGAGAGATGAAAAATTGCACGCCGTTGTGGCGCGAAGCACATTTCCAAGTCAAAATGTACAAAACACACCAATGTCGGACCACTTTTGGAAGTTCCGATGTCGAAAAAGTGCACGCCGTTGTGGCGCGAAGCACATTTTGAAGTCAAAATGTACAAAACACCGCAACCTCGGACCACTTTTGGAAGTTGAGATGTCGAAAAAGTGCACGCCGTTGTGGCGCGAAGCACATTTGGAAGTCAAAATGTACAAAACACACCAGGTCCGGACCACTTTTGGAAGTTGAGATGTCGAAAAAGTGCACGCCGTTGTGGCGCGAAGCACATTTCCAAGTCAAAAGTGTTAAAAACTGACGGTCTCGGACCACTTTTGGAGGTTCAGATGTCGAAAAAGTGTCGAAAAAGTGCACGCCGTTGTGGCGCGAAGCACATTTCAAAGTCAAAAGTGTAAAAAACTGAGGGTTTTGAGCCTTTTTTGACGTGAAGATGTCGAAAAAGTAGACACTGATTAACTTAACTAACTTGACTAACTTAACTAACTTGACTAACTTAACTAACTTCACTAACTCAACTACCCTAACTTCGACGACAACAGCAACAGCAACAACAACAGCAACAACAACAACAACAACAACTACTACTACTACAACAACAACTACAACTACAACTACAACTACAACTACACAACTACACAACAACTAGAACTACAACTACAACTACAACAACTACAGCTACAACAACTACAGCTACAACAACAACAACAACAACAGCAACAACAACAACAACAACTACAACAACAACTACAACAACAACTACAACTACACTACACAACAGCTACAACTACACAACTACTACAACTACAACTACACTACACAACAACTACAACCACACAACAACTACAACAACTACAACTACAACTACAAAACAACTACAGCTACAACCATATGACTGCAACTACACTACACTAATTACATTAAACCACAACTACAACTCCACTACACTACAACTACAACTACAGTTGCAGTACATCACACTACATCCAGCAGTTGTGGGTGAGGTGACCACTGCAACCATTGCAACCATTGCAACCATTCCAGCAAACACAACTCCAACCACCTTTCGGTCAATCAGTGGATTCGCTCTGCCATCCGTGATTCACAACAACCAACGTCTCCTATAGGTTTCCTATTCTGAAACTTCCGCCACCGCCTTGTGCGGTACTACTGGTATACGTAAATGGAAATGGTAAGTACAGTTTGGGGTTGAACATGGTTGCAATTGTGGCGAAATCTGCCTGTTAGCTGCCGTTAGCACGAATGGGCACTTCAACAGCCAGCCATAAGTGGGTTGCAACAATATTTGGTCAACCTTTGGTAGGGCCAGGACTTTGCGATTTTCATGGGGAAAATCGAATGACCAGCTCAAACATCATCGCGTTTTTTCTGTGGAGATCCCCCAGGTTTGGAAACGGCTTCTCCGTGATAAGCAATTTTTTTTTGAAACCCACAGTTCTTACCAATCGTTTTTTACATAGCAGTAATTACCACCAAACTATTTCACCCATAAGATCCCATAAGATCCTATAAGTACACGTTGTGAAACGTTGTGAAACCTCTAAGGCCCCCATCCACTTAGATCACTTAGCGCTTTGGTAACACGTTGAGGAGCGGAACAGTAGCGCCGCGAGCGGAGCAAGCGGAGCCAGCGGAGCGACGGTGCGCTTTTCGGAGGATGCGCTCTTCCAGGCGCGGGTTTGCGCTGCGGTTGGGAGCACAGGCCCTTTCTTTTTGATGTTAGGATATGTAACTGATGTTTGATGGAAAAAACATATGATGTCATACGGAATATTTCATGAATATTCTGAATTTGTTGAACAACGATTTTAGGTGATTCTGAGCCGGATAATTTGGTAATTGGTTGATGACCGTTCTTTTTGAAGAAAGTGAGGGGGCTATGGAGCATGGGGTGGCACAAAAAAAGATAGTGATGATGATTTTCATTCGGGGCCCCGAGCGATTCCAAGCACTTTGCAGAGGCTTTGGGGGAGTAGGCGGGTGATTTCAAGGCTAATCTCATTGAATTCTGGCCAAAATCATTTGTATCTCTTTGTTCCATAGAAGATGTGTAAGCTTTACACAGAGATGCCGGGATTCATAGTCGATTTTATGTTGGATGGACATGCACAATGATTGATGATGTTGATTTTAATCCGTGAGCGCAAAATGCCATCAGAATCAACAGATGTCATCCTTCTTTGACGGGAAGGCAGGGACCATGGAACCCCGAAATGATCACGTACACGTTACTGTTATACTATCATGATTTATACACCACTCGCCAATCCAAAATTTAAGATTTATCTGGTAATTAAACATAGCTATATTCTATATTACTTTATCATTACATTGTTTTATACATTGCCATTTATATATTATATATATATGCTAATATATATATATATATATATATCCTGTCCACATTTGAATGCAAAATCATATGTTACCAATAAATGCAACTTCTCAATTTTGTCAAGACCCATATTATCTATTTTGAAAGTCATCAGTACCAATATGTTCCAAATTATCAATGCTAACATATTGTGTAGATAATCTTCTAATGTCTTAATTCACTAAATTTGTTGGTAATATCGACATTTTCCCATGAACCACCACACATTTATGGCAAAAAATCCATGTTTAAACCATATTAAAGCCACACATTAATCACAAAATATCACCAGGTGATACCACACTAATCTTGGATTTCATACCAGACATGTATACAAATATCACCATTGATCCATTGCTTCAACATTCTCTCATTTTGGGTCTCCCCACCAAAAACCGGACCCGTCGGAGGAGATCCGTGATTTGCGCATCGACAAGTTGGGACCTTTACTGCAGGATTTTGGACCGACCATAGTGGGCGATGTTCTTTTTTCATGAGATGGATGTGAGGAATAGCATGTAGCTAGTAGATGCCATATTTTTTGTCTGTTGCCAGTTTTTTCCCTATGAGATTATGCCTCAATGATATTTGATTGTAGCTGGATTGATAACCACTCAGTGACTGGGATCCAAGTACACCAGTGATGGACTCCTTATAGCAAATGAATGCAAATGATACACACATGATACCCTCTGGTAAATTAACATAGACCCTGGCAGTCATCGGGGTTGGAAGATTAGTGTCCATTAAAACTAGGCTATTTTCAGGGTCTATGTGAAAATTTACCAGAGGGTATACTGTATTCTGCCGGGATTTACATAGTATGAATAGCCCATGACTAGAAGGGTTGCCGGCCAGTGATATTTTGGGATCATTTGGGGATGATTTTACCACGGTTTACCACACCAAACCCTGGCTTTGGTAAATCAGTTCCGTAAATCGCCTTGAGTAGTCTGCAGAAAGTCACCAGAAAGGATAAGAAGGGGGAACTACATGGAATTACCCATGTTTAGTGAACTCCTATATAAATATTATTTCTACCATTACTACCATTCATTCAGCCAGACTACAAGCTTGTTATTCGCATGTTTCTTGAATTACGACCATTCATCACGAACAACGGGGGATTCCGCAAGCTTAGGCGGTTTGGGCCGGGTCAATGTCTTATCATCAACTCGCAGGAGAAGGCCAGAGCCATCCAACAGACCTATTCTGAAAAGGACGCCGCTGGATGACGGAAAGGGCGCTGTTTGGGGGCGTTTTTTGGATCCATAAATCATGGTTTAATGATGTTTAATGTGGGAAATCATTTTTCCACATGGCCGCAAGTTTCAGGTCAGTCTGTGAATTATCATTGACCCAGACTGATAAGATGGGGTAGATTCCATTGATTTGGGATTTTTTAACAAAGACAATGGCATGGGTCTCTGGGAAAAGCCTCTGACTCAAGGAGTACTCTCCTGTCCTGTCACCGGGAACGTGCGACCACAACGATGCTGTTCACAGCAGAAGTATGGAGAAATGTCGTGGTGCTCTTACCATCAGGATGGTAGGATGGTGCCCCCCACAGTGATGTGAATGTTGGTTTAAAAAAAGCCCATGAATACTATAGTTACCCTCTGGTTATGACTAACATAGCCATGGAAAATCCCTTATAAATGGAGGGTTTAATGGTTATATCTACCATAAACCAGAGTTAATTCAGCCACAAAAATAAGTTATAAGGCAACTGAACGCTATCGAACGGGGGCCCCATCCTGTAGGATCATTTTAGTTTGGCAGGTCCCCAGGTCCAAGTTCTGGCGAGGATAATGTGAAGAGTGCCTCAGATCCTTGGAAGATCCTGATATCTCGCCCAATGGGTTGGGAGGTAAGGCTCAAAAACCTAAAAAACAACTAAAGATTGACAAAATGGAGTACAAGGTGGTGCCCCACAGTTAGCTAAGTTGGTTTATAACTCTCATAACTATGGTTTATGGCAGATATAACTATAGTATTCATGGGGTTTATAAACCAACTTATAACTGGGGGGCACCATCCTGTAGGTAGTTATTCAAACATGAAATAAAATTGCCCAGTATCGTCTTTTCTGGCATTAATTTGGGGATGAGAACTAACTGTTGTTTTGATGTATTGATAACTTTGCGCTCGCTGGGAGATGTCTTGAAATGACATCTGCCTTGGTGTGCAATGAGATTTGGGTTGGTCTGAAGGTAGGGTACCGCAAATTTGGGTGTTTTCAGAGTTTATACATTAGCATTTTTCCTTTGCTTTCCTATTACAATGATGTTTTTCTTGGGGTATTCATCCGATTTTCAGGTGCAGTCACTTTGAATAGGAAAATAATTGGATGAATCAGTCCGACATTACAATTGAATTGTTTTTTTTTGCTGTCCAATTACCCTCTGGTAATTTAACATAGCTATGAAAAATCACCAATTTTTAATGGGAAAATCCACTATAAATGGCCATTTTCAATAGCTATGTTTGTTTACCAGAGGGTATAGGTTGTTTCAGTCACTTTGACTGTTCATGGATGGTCCCAGCTTCACCAGTCACCAACATTCCTAGAAGCTGAGAACGCTCTCTTGAGCCTCTGGTGAGCCCCCCAATCCTCTGCTGCTTGATGATTATGGAGGTTTGCAACTGTATAATATAATGTAATATAATATAATATAATATTATATAATATTATATAATATACTAATTTGGTACAACTATGGGATTTTAACCTCCATAAGTTGGGATATGGGGAACCTAAAACCATGGAATAAAAAGGATAATAATAGTAATAATAATAGTAATAGTAAAAATAGTAATGATAATATATGATAATAGTATGTATATATATATGTATGTATGTATGCATATATATATATATATATGAAGGTCGTTTACTATGGAGATCGTAATAATCCACGACCGTCTACGACCTGGGATTCAATTTGTGGATGATCATCATAACGACCTGGGCACAGATCCATGAATTTTCACCCGAATCCCATGGTGTAAAACTTCTCACCCCCATAGAACGATTAAAAAGGGCCATAGCCGCTTGAGGCGTATGACAGTCAGATTTCTGGTGTCAAAAAAAAGTCTGGCCCGACCCAAGGAAATGATGGAGTACATTCCGAAATTCAAGAACGCGCAGTTGGGGACCCCAGAAAGCTGAGGGTAAACCTTGGGCAATCCACTTGGAGACTGCCATGAGCTGACCCATGAATTTTGGGCCAGTTTCACAGAGGTAGCTAAGAAATTCTATGGGTTTCTATGGGATTTCTGTGGGATTTCTATGGGATTTCTATGGATTTCTGTGGGATTTCTATGGGATTTCTATGGATTTCTGTGGATTTCTATGGGATTTCTATGGATTTCTAAGGTGACCGGTAGCTATGAATCTGGGCCCCTGAGACCCAGCGGAACATCGGGCGAACTGGTCACCATTTTGAGGTGGACTGCGCGGACATCCCCCCACAATGTACCCTCTGGTAAACATACATAACTATGGAAAATCATCATGTTTAATGGGAAAATCAACTATCAATGGGCCATTTTCAATAGTTTTTTGTATGTTTACCAGAGGGTATATGCCGAAGGTCGAAAGAAACGATGTTTAACTTCCCTGGGCAATTGAATGAGTTGTATTTTATAGCCTCCAGTAATGAAACATAGCAATTAAAAAAAACCCACATTTAGTTCGATGATTTTCCCATTAAAACACCTTCATTTACAGGGGATTACCAATTGCCATGTTTGACTACGGGAGCCACCGTGGCAGCAACATCCCTCCATCGTGGCAGCTCGGTACCACCATTCGGAATGTGAGTCAGGTAGCAGAACAGAAATCTGGGTGGGTTACTTGGTAGATTCTCTCACCGCACCTACATAACTGTATAATCTATATATATATATATATGACAATCTGCCAGAAAATAGTTGACAGAAGTTTTGTACCAGTGGCTGATGATTGGTGTGGATCTAGTGGTTTTTCCTCCTCGTTAATAGAACCATTATATTATTTATATAGTTATCTACATAATGTTATCTACAGTATTTATATATACATAGTAGTAAAAGCATGCCATGCATGTAATTCCCTGCAGGGTCTCTAAGATTATTATTGACAAGCAGTACTTCTTTCAAGCTGCAGAAAAATTGGTGTTTCCCGGCCTCCACTTGGCACGTGTGCGAAACGAGCTACACCCGGTACCCGCCACGGCTCGATCGGTCCAATCCAGCAATCCAGGTCGGCACACCCCCTGTTGGAAGTCTACATCAATCTGGCGCACGACCTGAATGAGAAGATCCAGTCTGAGGCGTGTACTTTTTCTGCTTTTCAACCAGGAAGCTGTATGCGGGAAAATCGCCCACCAGAAAGCAAGAATTCCCTGGGGGAAAAATCAAGAGGAACTCACACCCCGAAAATGATGATAGAGAAAAGCTGTAAATTTTGAATTGAAGTTAAAAACAAAAAAAGTCACATCTTTTTCAGAACATTGCAACAAAAACACATTATTGACTGACTAACAAGCGGATTTTAGAGGTACCAGATCTTGGACTCACCCAATTGGATATGGTGTATCATGATCGTGCCTCCCCAATGGTACCATTTGGAATGGTTGATGTGGTTTATGATTGGTTCAACCAAACAAGCCTCATCCCTGATGGACTGCAAGTCGGTGATAGACAGCGCAACCCCTCTTCTGGAATCAACGGGGAATGTACAAGGAGAATATCTGGGAATGTGTGTTGTTTGGCCATGGCCCGGCAATCCCAAGATCAAGATTCCCAGTACAAACGTGGATGAAGGCCATGATTTTGCAGGCTTTGTAGACTAGCAGGCCTTCATTTTTCTACTATTTTCTATTAACACCAACGGAAAGAACGGATTTGTGCTCAAAATTAGCAGCCAATTTGCAGTTGTTTCGTTCTATCCGATTCTATCCTTTTATTTTTGCTGCTTAAATCATGTTAAATCCCTATGTTTAGTCTTGAGGCATCATGGACATCGTTTCAAAACGAGTCCCCAACTCTTGCAGGAGTACCGTCAACTGCTGAAACTGGAGGCGGGGTATGGATCATGAGGGGGTGAAACTTGCAGCGTTGAGTCTAAGTAGCCAACTGGGTATGGATCAAAAATGGATTGTGAACAGAATAAGTGATTGAGGTTTTCCCTAGAATTTAGGGCATTGGTGATTAGATTCCTAATACTACTGAGTATTAGATTCCTCATTGTGAACAGAATCTGCGGTCGGGCCTGGAAAAATTGACCATATTGAGAATCATGTCCTGCAGTTATAGCCCTTGACCGTTATAACTGGCTTATGATGATATATATATATATATATTATATGATTATATATATATAATCATATTATATATGATTATATATATATATATATTTATATTGATATATAACATTAGTTACAGGAGTTATACTCCCAGTCGACTGTTAGTTGGGCCATGTGTGGCTTCTTGGCCAGGACGAAATCACAGCGCAAAGCGGCAGTTCCTCCAATACTTTGGACTTTGTGCAGGTGGCTACTGGAAATCCACCGGACAATGTGGATCTAGCCGGGTAGAAAAAGATCTAGCCCGATGGGGGATATAACTTATGATATAAGACTATTATGATATACTTAATGGTATGCAACCAATAAATACTATGGTAGGATATATGTATATATATATATATGCCCAAAAAGGCAATAGAATTGCCAGAATTTGAATGGTTTTTCATGCCAAAAACACCAGCATTTTTATGTTGGTGATTGCCTGAATGTTGAGCAGTACCCATAGTAGGATGCTTCGTAGTTTTTTGCGGCTTGTTCCACTGCAAAGTCTGAAAAAACTCTTGGGATTTCATGTGATCAGCGACCCAACTCCCTGTTGATTGGTTTCTAGAACTTGATGGAGTATGGGAACCCCCCAGTGTATCAACCAACAAGTGATGCTGCAGACCATACATAGGCTATCACAGCATCAGAACTATGATAGAAGGAGCGGCCAATTTACCAATCTGGACATATCATGAAATATCAACATGGCCAATCAACACTTGCAAACACCATTTTTAGCGGACATCCACCAGCAAAGTTTGGTGTTCACCACAGGGTTTGGAACCATCCCGACAGAAAAAACAACATCTAAAGGGACTTGGGAAGTGCAGCAAAAACAAGTGGACAGTAACAGGGCAAACATCCTATCCCATATGAAAGGTCAAAAAACATAGACAAATGAAGTCATATACTCACATGATTTCATTTTGATAAACACCACATATACGTATATATATATTTATACACATGCATGGGTGAACTAAGCATGATGATTGAACACATACAAACTTGGTTTCGCACAGCTACAGGGTGGATGTCGTTTTGCCACGTTAGATAGGCATGTGGAACTGAGAGACACCCAAAGTCGTTTCCCCTTTCCCGGTCATCCTGGCCATTCTGAACGCCGCAGTTTTGTTGGTTGAATATCCTCCCTGTCGCCGCTGAAAGGTGCTGAAAAGGTTTTAAACCTCCCACATGTATCCAAATGTTGTATGTCAATTGAGTCATGTAGTTACCCTCTGGTAAACTAACATAGCTATTGAAAATGGCCCATTTATAGTTGATTTACCCATTAAACATGGTTATTTTCCATAGTTATGTTAGTTTACCAGAGGGTATACCTGGAACATCTCCTGAGCCCCTCCAATCTGTCCACTTGTCGAGGCGATGATGGATGACCAGAAACCCTTCCACGAGGTTCGAGCCGTAGGATTTTTTCGGCTGGATTTGATGAAGATGTTTTCCCCAGTTCTTGCTCCATTATTTGGGGGAATCTACACACTGAGGAGATATTAATGTTTTTTGGGGCGCCTTCAGCAAATCCAGGATCATAAAATACCCTCTGGTAAACAAACATAGCTATTGAAAATGGCAATTTATAGTGGATTTACCCATTGAAAATGGTGATTTTCCATAGTTATGTTAGTTTACCAGAGGGTAATCCCCTTGAAACCCTGGTTTCGTGGTGGAATTTCTTCGCTTTGGGCACCTTTGAGGGGAGTTTCATCATGGGAAGATATGTTTTTTTTGGTCATTGCACTGTCCAGATTTTGTTGAATGTCCCGAATCTGAGTGTTTTTGGGGTAAAACTTGAAATTCAGATTCCTTTGTATATGGGCTAAAACTTCGAAAAGCTTAGAATTCGAGTTAAGTCTATTTGAAGGGTTTGGGGTAAAAACGCTGTTCAGATTCCTTTGCGAAAAACTGATGGCTTTTTTAGGGTGTAGCTGCTGTAGCTTCGCAAATGCCGTGGAAACGGAAACGGAATGGCGATCTATGGCTCAGTCGTCGCAGAATTGCTTGGGATTTCCCTCGACCACGACGCCATGCCTGTGAGTTCCACTCCCCTGATTCCCCTGCGCCAATCCTTGCGCTTGAAGGAGAAAATACGTAGCCTGGTTTGCTCTGGCTTCGGATTGCCTGATATCATATCATATATATATATACATACAGATATATATATATATACATATATATATATACATATATATATATATACATATCTGGTTGGTGGTTTGGAACATTTTTTATTTTTTCCATATATTGGGAATAATAACCCCAACTGACTTTCATATTTTTCAGAGCGGTAGGTATACCAGCAACCAGATATATGATATCCATCCCACTTTTGGAACTCCAAGCCAAAACGGGCATACTAAAGCCTACAAAACTGGGCAGATGACAAAAGTCCCTTCGAAGAGAAGACAAGCCATGAATTTTCTATGGCAGAGGTGAAGGAAAGCCGTTCAAGTGGCATTCATATATATATATATATAACATATTATATCAAAATTTGGAGTTCTTAAAAACATTATTATATAATTATGGTGATGAATCATCGTTGATCATCATGTTTACACATGGTTATTCAGACTATTTCCCGCTGTCTGGCCATAGGAGAAAGCAGCCGCTGCCCAAGCGGCACCGCGGGTCGACGCCGCAGCGCAACAGGCGGACGCGGGCAGTCAACGAAAGCGGAAGGCTTGTGAGGTCAGTGAAAAGCATATCAAGGTGGGAAAAGCGCTGGGATCTGGATGAATTTTTGCTGGTTTATACATATCTATATATATATATATAGATAGATAGATATCATAATGATACATATGTATTATATATATATATAGACGTGGATAATCCTCCCAAAATGATTCAACTTTTCATCTATTTTGAGGTGAGTGAGCCAATAATTTGCTGGGGGGGCGCATTCTTTTTGACAAACCTATTTATTTCACCATTTGCCAGGATTTCTTGTTGTTGGCTTCCAAAGTTGCACATGGGAGTGCAATTGAGGTTATAGTTGTACATAGGTACGTAACCATGATTACAACATGGGGCTCCATATCCCAACTTAACGGAGTTTATTACCATAGTTATATCCATTTAGATGCGGGGTTTCCATAAATGGGGTACCCCAAAAGCTGGATGGTTTATCATGGAAAATCCCAATCTAATAGCTGGATGATCACTGGGGGTACCCATGGGCACCCACATTTTAGGAAACCTCCAGATCACCCCAACGCCCCCAAAGGAGGTTTTGATTTCCCTGGCCCGTGGAATCAATTTCTATCTCTCCCTCTAGAAGGGCCTACGGGGGGTTCTAGATAGGGTAAGTTAGAGTACAAGTAGGCCAACTATGGCAAACTAAGGTTTATGGGATATATATATATATATCTATACTTGGGTGGGTTTGTAAACCATCTTGAGAGCGGAGGCCCCTATGCAACTTTGTTGATTATGTTGCAATGTTTCATTCTGGGTATATCCCTTTGTCATTTCGCTTGACCTTCCTATTTTGGATCATTTTGTGGATTTACCTGATAAGTTGCTCCTGCCCCCAAAAAAGGTGCTTACTGGCCCTAGCATTTCGTCACCACTTCCACCACCACCTGCGAGTTCATCAGGAGTTGATGAACTCTTTGCGAGCTCTCAGTGTGCAGCAGCCTTTTGCCTTCGCCATCATGTGCGGTCAGAAGGCGGTGAGTTGGGTCATTTTTTTTCCCGGGTGACTTATGATTGGCTGTTTCCTCCAAAGGTGGTAGATACCCTTTGGTTATTTAACATAGCCATGGAAAATCACCATGCTATTAATAGGTAAACCATCTATTTCTATGGGCCATTTTCCATGGCTATGTTACATAACCAGATGGTAAGTGAATACCAGCTCAACATTGGTCTTTGTTTGTAGGGAATCTAAGATTAGCCGTGGAAAACTTGCTGGTGTTCTGGGATTCTGGGAGGTGGCTCAAAAGATAGGACATTCCACATATATATATATATACATATACATATACATATCTATATACATATACATACATATATCTATATGTATATACATATATATATATATAGAGAGACATGAATAATATTATTTATATATACACAGTTAAATAAAAACATATATAAATACATAGATACACATAGCATACGATACATATATATATATGTACTGCATACAAAATACAATATACTGTTTACATATGTGATATCCAGCCAGCCCCGCAGATTCCAGGACATCGAGAATCGCAGCTGGCGCCCTCCTCAACTTCCCTGTTTGTTGGTGGTGCACTCCAGCTCCCGATCGGCTCCGCAGGCTGACTGTGTGCCTGGGCCATGAAGATTTCTGGATGACTTTACCGCTGCCTCACCTCTGTGGCTTCACCATGGTCGTAGAAAAATGTGGAATATTGGCAAAAAATGGATGGCAAATTAGATCAACCTCCGTTTTGGTGCCAAGCCTCAGCATCTTTGGATCATGCTAGGATCCCACCAAGGACCAGGTGCGCCGACGCTTAGCCGCGGCCGGTGTGGAGCTGCCATCGGCCCTTCCCAACGGCGCCTTGTTGGGCGTAGCCCTGGTGGACCGCTGCCTCGCTCCCTTGGCCCGGCAAAGCGGCTGGGCCCTGGGGGGCCACCACCGCTGGCGCCTGGCCAAGGTCTGGCCGTTGCCGGAGCCGGTGCCGTGCAGTGGGAGGTTGGGAATGTGGCAGCTGCCGCAGGCGCGGAGTTGAGGGGCTGGATTTTGGAGCAACAAACTGAGAGCCTTGGAGGCCTTGGAGGCTTAGCTGAAGAAGAGATACTACTGGTTGGTGGTTTGGAACATTTTTTATTTTTCCATATATTGGGAATAATCATCCCAACTGACTAATATTTTTCAGAGGGGTTCAAACCACCAACCAGTATTATCTAGATCAATACACGACCCTGCGGTGCCTGGCAGGCCAAGAGGCAGGCCTTCTTGACGCTGTTGAAGGAGACTTGACGACGGGTCGTATGGCTGTTTCAACCACGAGGAACAGGAAGAAACCAACAACAACGTGGAACCAGCGGCATCAACGAGAAACAATCCAAGAGCATCGGGGGGATAAACAGACAAGTCCATCAAAAGGCTGGAAAGACGAACATCAACCTGCAATCAAGTCTACCTGCTGGTACTGGTGATTCAAGCTGACGACCGGAAATCCTTATTCCTGTAGATCTTAATCGTTGAATTTCTTCTACACATGATTACACACGATTTTCCACCTAGGTTTGATTACCAAATTGTACAACAGTGAAATCTGTCTTTCTTCAGGTCACATATCTCTTGTTTAGTGGTTCGAGACATTTTTAAAACCATACTTGGGATGATGATCCCCCATGACAGACATATTTTTCAGGGTTGAAACATGTTGAACCATCAACCAGTGATTAATCAGTCATTATCTTCATTGTTTCCCCAGTTATACCATATATACCCAGTAATATTCTCAGTTATCAGTGATGTTACAACTACCATTTCACTGGGAGCAAAGAATCATCAATCAGAAAGCAAGATGCCAATTCAAGCAGTTATTTTATTCTTTGTATCATCCTTTTTGGTATCATCAACCAGTGATTTTTTGGTGGTTACAAGGTGGTGCCCCTTCGAGTGATGTTTGTGGGCTTATAACCCCCAGAATAGTATAGACACATTTTATATTTACAATAAACCCAAGTTATTGGAGCTATGTTCACCAACTTATCCAACTTATCCAACTCAGCTCGAAATCCCATGAACTCCCAACCTTTTGTTGCTTAAATGGTCCATTTTCCGATGATTTTCTAACATGAGGCACCTTAAAATGGGGCTGGTTCAACGACGGGAAAACCTCGCAGGATGCCTGGCCGGCCCTGGCAGCCATGCGAGCGCGCACAGCGTCACTTCCTCGTGGACCAGGTAGCCGCTTTTCGGGTTTTCTTTTGGCGGTTTCTTGGGGCATCCCACTTACAGTAATAAATGCTGGTTGGTGGGTTGGAACCATGGAATTTGATTTTTCATATTTTTCCATTAGTTGGGAATTTCAACATCCCAACTGTTACTCACTCCATCATTTTTCAGAGGGGTAGGGCTCAACCACCAACCAGGTAATAAATGGGTCAAAAAAGACCCACTTAATGGAATATCCCCTATGGAATGAAATAGAGGGTTAGATCAATGGCCACGGACCCGCAGCCCGCAACGTTTTGGGGAGCTGAGAATCACCGGCTTTCCATGGCGACTGCTCTGTCAGGTTGTGGACCATCTTCATAGCTTGATACTTGTTGGATACATGGGTCATAAAAAACTGGTTGGTGGTTTGGAATATTTTTTTTTCCATATATTGGGAATGTCATCATCCCAACTGACTATGTTCTTACTGGTGCGTTTTACGCAGGGAATTTGAGGGAATGATCCATATATAATCACTAGTAATAATCATCATCCCAGCAACCCCCAGCAACCCATCCAGCCACCCTACGTAAAACGTACCAGTAAGTGTTGGATACATGGGTCATAGAAAATCCAACACTTCAGTTGCTGGGCTTTTGAACCGGATCTGTGGAGATGTTTTTTAATGGAAAAATTGCAGATGATACTACAGGATGGTGCCCCCCAGTGATGTGAATGTTGGTTTAGATTCACCCCATGAATACTATAGTATACTATAGTGATATCTGCCATAAACCATAGTGAAATGGGAGTTATGTTCACCAACTTAGCTAACTATGGGGCACCACCTTGTATATGAAATAATATATATAACTGGTTGGTGGTTTCAAACATGAATTTTATGTTCCATTTCGTATATGGGATGTCATCCTTCCCATTGACGAGACCTCTAATATTTTTCAAGATGGATATTGCACCACCAAGCAGCTTCAGTTGCTGGGCTTTTGAACCATACCTATATCTTTATACTCTCTCCTTCCTGAATCCTAGTTTAGCATTTCCTGTATTTGTTGATTTTGTTTTTTTTTCATGTCTTCATGAGTCCCATAGCACAGTTGGATATAGACTCCCTTCACTTGTGGCATACCATGTTTTCTTTGTTTTGTCGTCCAATATCATGATCTCTGATGATATCATATCATGTCATGTAGTGTCATGTCATGTCGTGTCATGTCATGTCATATCACATCGTATCATATCATGCTCACATGTTGGTTTCTTAGTGTTCATGTGGGCACGGTTCAAAATTGGGTACACACATGACCCGAAATTGGGTACTATATGATGCAAAACATGACTCAAACATGCTGCAATCCCTAGGCCTCATTTCTGTGGGTAAAACCCATCGTGTTGGTTCAAACCACATCTTGGCAAGAGACACTCCTTCCTTTCATGATAATGCATCCTTATTCGCAGTTTTATCATGTTTTATCATGATCTCCATGCATATACCCATAAGATACATCACGCTAATTCCATTCATTTCCTTGGCTTTCTTCCTCCCATGTTTACATCCCATTTTGAGACCTGCGTGGTTCCGTGGTTTTCCGCAGGTGGCGCGGCCGTCGCGGCAGCTTCACAGCGCCGCTGCGTGTGGTGCGACGCACAGATTGGTTGGAGGCGAAGTTTCGTGCGAGATCGGAATGGACAGATGACCCGCAATGGCACGGGGTTGTGCTTGTTGTGCTTGTCGTGCTTGTCGTGCTTGTCGTGCTTATCGTGCTTGTCGTGCTTGTTGTGCTTGTTGTGCTTGTTGTGCTTGTTGTGCTTGTTGTGCTTGTTGTGCTTGTCGTGCTTGTCGTGCTTGTCGTGCTTGTTGTGCTTGTCGTGCTTGTCGTGCTTGCTTGTTGTGCTTGTCGTGCTTGTCGTGCTTGTCGTCGTCGTCGTCGTTGTTGTTGTTGTTGTTGTCGTTGTTGAAAAAACTGCATTTGAATGTAGTGTCCTTCCTTTTTTTTACTTGTAAATTATGTTAGTGATATCGAAAGGATTTGACCAATGGTATACAATTGTGTATGTATATCTATAGGTAGCAAAATGCCACAAGTGATACCGCAATTAGAGTCCGGAAAGTCTACGATACACAATTATCCAATCCCATCCATGTAATACGACATGGAATATGTAGAATATGCCTGAGCAGATTGTGACAGCCTGGCTAAGCGGAGTATCCGCGGGTAGTATGCCTTGCAGCTCCGGGTGCATAATCGTCAATCACACCTTAGATCATGTGTTTGGGGACATATAAGAAACAAGTAAACCTGGCCTAATTCTGGATGAATTGTAACGACCTGATGATGCTTGGGAATAGACATCATCCCCAAATGGCCTTATTTCAAGCTAATTTTGATCCCAGTTACTGGATTTGCTACAGTAAATCTGATGTTGGATTTTCCCATTGGTAAATGCAAAAAATCTGGGGAATCTGGGAAGGTCTTTGTATTCTTCATGGTCCCCGTAGACGCAACTCCGAAACGCGTCTCGGCCAGGAAGGGCATCTCTCCCTGTGTGCCGAAAAGCTGCAAAAGTTGTTGCCAGAGGTGGGATTTGACCCTGATCATCAAACATGGCAATGGAAAATATGGCCGGTTTATAGATGAATTACCTATTAGAGATGATGATTTTCCATCGCTATGGCTATGTATGTTAGTTTACTGGAGGGTAGTTTCAATTAATTCCTGTGGATTTACCCCCGACTGGCTTGGGTCTACTGGCAAGTGGTGGGTGATGTTGGAAGTATCCACTGGTAGTCAAACATGGCTGGCTGGACAATTCCCAATAATATATATATATATCTACACATATAGATATAGATATTATATACTATATATATATATGATATTCAAAATAAAACACCATTTATCAATATTGATCATTGCTTTTTGTGCACGCCATGAAGCTGAGGACACCAGATACAAACATAGAGGAAGCAGCAAATGAAGAATGGTGATGTGACTAACACAATGGTAGGGATATACATAGAATATCATAGAATGGTAGATAAGAGTGTACATAAGGATTTTTTTCTTCAGCAGCATGGAAGTTAACAGATCATATCAGGGTATGGGATGCGCATCATGATGCTAGGGTCAATTTGACCATCCATGTGTCGAATGTGTCCTATTTGTATGTGTGTTGGCCGGCCACGCAACTGAATGATGCTGGTATCCGCCGTGTTTTCCAGGCTGATTTCCGAACGGGGACTCCGCTTCTCTGTTGGCCAGCTTCTGTGGGTGAAGACTCTTGGTCTGGGATGCTTTTGGTCAATAGTTGGATAGTTTGGTCAAGATTGGAGACTCCAAGTTTGGGGGGATATAAACTCAAGTGGAAGAAAATCTGGAGGTCCCTTGGGTTTCGATTTTGGTTCATGCTCACATAGGCACTGTACTAGCCCACTTTCTATGGTGCTGCGGGAGGATGTGACTACGACCATTTGTTACCACGAAAACCAGGAAGCGGTCATCTCCATTAAACCCATTAAACCCAAATTTTCTACTACAGTTCCACGCTTCCCTTTGACTAAAAAACACACAGTGATCCCAAGCTGTTGCACCTCTAAAAAATGACTCAGGAATCGCAGCATGCTCTTCCCGGGACGTGTTGCTCAGATCGACTTTTCACTTGTCGCTTGTCGTGCCAACCAACCGCTTTGAATCGGGTTCTCGTATGAGTGGTGGAAAGGAAAGATGCGACTACTTTCCTTTGTTGTTTGTTATACTACCAGCTTCCACCAGGAGTTTATCATGAAGTTGATTGAAGTCTCGATTCACCGACCAGTAAATA